TCATAAATCAAAATTAGGTATTTCCAGGAAGGATTTATAATAAAGACAAATTCTTGTTTAGAACAGAATGTTTAGGGATTCACTGAATGATTTGTGCGATGATAAAAAATAAACAAAGCTCCCAGGAAGGATGTTAGTACCAGACGTCAAGTCCTGCAAACCATCGCATTTGGCAGGTTTTCTTTTTTTCTTTTTTTTAAGTGATGTAAGCTGACTCTTTGTGTGTGTGTATACATATATACACACATATGTATATGTATGTATAGGTGAATTATATACTCTTTCACTGCCTTGCAAAAGTATTCACAGCCTGAAAACCTCAGTATGTAAAAACAGCCACGTAAAGTAGCTTTTAATTGTGAAGTGGAAGGAAGACTTCACATTTTTTGCACAATTAAGGAAGTTAATTTTTTATTAATCCCTTTTAACTAATAAAATCTAGCACAATGGCATAACTTACAAAATACAAAAATATATAAAAATGTGTTCATAGACATCACTTTGACAGAGCTGCTTTTATTTTCTGTGAATATCTGTGCGGTACTCAGTCATTTTTCACAGGCCATGCAGGTGATACTGCCAACTTGTGGGGTAGTTTGCTCTGGTCAGATGAGACCTAAGTATTGCCTTTGCATCAAGACGTACTTACATGAAAACATGGTGGTGGTGGCATCATGCTGTTGTCGATCGAGGATGGTGAATCGGTGGGTATTAAAGGAAAATTGAACAACGCTAAAAGCAAGTTTAACCTTCCGGCGGAAGGTACAAGAATCGGTCTTCAAGTATCGGAATGACTTAGTCAAAGTCCAGGCCTGAATCAAATTCAGAATTTGTGCTAAGACTTTAGATTTTACGCGCACAGACACTGTGCATCCAGTCTGACTGAGCTTGATGGCTTTCGCAAAAATTCAATTTCAAAAGCTGTCCAGTGACCGTTCAATACCTTCTGTTGATTGATCGCCCATAGTCTGACCACAGGCCACTGTAGTTTGTGGCAGTAATGAGAAAGAGTTTGAAGAATGAAAAAGGTGTCTGGATTTTCTGGCAAGAAAATGCGAAGTATAGTTGAAATATAACATACTAAAATTCTCCTGGCAAAAAAAGAAAAATAGTCACCTCTTTACATTTGTTGCAACAAGCATTACTGTCACACTTTTACATATGTAATATTTTAATCAATCTTTTTAAGAATGACCCTTTTCACCGCTTAATATCCAGTGGCCACAGTCCCTGTAACTAAGCCTCTGCAACTGTTGACACAACGTTAGCTACTGTTGCTTCCCTCAGCATACAGAATCCATCATGATAAGCTTAAAGCTGTTCAGCGTGTTGCGCCGCTTGGCTGGTTCCCATCGGCTACTTTTCTCCCACCGCGAAGTTTTAGGATAATTCATCTCCCAAACTACGTGATCCCGCTTTTTTATCTTTGAGCTCACACACGCTCGTCGGCCAAGCCGCAGCTGACGCCAAAGAGCTTCTGTAGGCAAAGAAAACACCGCGTCCCATTACTTTCCTCTGGTGCAGGCAGTGTTGCCCCACAGCTCTGCCTCGCCTCGCCTGCCTCCCCCCCCCCCCGAGAAGTCAATCTGTTTCTGATTATGTGTGATCATCCTCGAGCTTGCCAGAAACATTTCAGACACAAGCAGCTCCATTTCTTTTTCTTTCTTTTTTTTTTTTTTTTTTTAAGGAACCTGGAAGGCATTCAAAGTAAATGTCATTGTAGCTTGTCAAAGCCATCGTTAATTATGATGACAGGAACAAATGATGTGGCGACTTTATGGTTTTTAAAATCATTTTTCTTACATAAAAACGTGCGAGTATTACAGTGACATTGAGCTGTACCTATTTGAAATTCGTCAGCGCAGGTATGTTGGATGTTCTTACTGTTCCTACTGATTTTCACATGGGTTAACCGGTGAGCATGGCAAGATTGGCGATTAAAACTAACATCCACCAACACTTTACCTTTCATTTTTAGATGTTGCTTCTCTTCTTGCTACAAACACTTTGTACAAAGTCAAAGCTTGGAGAAATGAACAGCAATTTATGAAGTAGACCATAGTGCATGGCATTCTGGGTAAATACAGGCCAAAAAAAAAAAACATTCAAGTCTAGCAGTGAACATAGAGTACAGCAAAAATAAAAGAGAAATCCTGCAGACACTAAAATCTGACGCTACTCCAGGTTTTGTTTGCATTTTGTGGAGAAGGAACTTGCGCTTATGTGTCCTCTTGAGATTTTTGTGACGTTTTCTTCAGCAGTCCTTGGTGCAGCACCACCCCAGGATCCACCATATAGTTTGGATCGTTTGCCACAGTGCAGTGGCAAAGAGAACTGCACCACGTAAAAATGTAACAAATGTTGCAATCGAACCGAGTCTACCAGACTTTCAAGTATAAAAACACCCTTAATTGCTAATATAATAAGAACCTGGGCACAGTTATTTTTCTGTCGCAAACATTCCATGCATTCAGCAAACAGATGTGGCTGAATATTTCATCGGTGTAGACAAAGCATCTGCATAGTTTAACCTGAATTATTATTGGGTCATTGCTTTGATATTGGTGTAGCACTTATGGAGGTTTTGCAGCACTGGGGCATATGTGACAATAAATAGTTACAATATTTACAATCAAAAAAACATATGGAGCAACCTGACTGAGCAATAGAAAGTTATGTATTATAATCAATCAAGTTTCAGTTAAGTTTATTTGTATAGCACATTTCAGCATGAAGGCAGTTCAAAGTCAATAAAACATAAAAAACCTATGACAAAGACACAGGTTGTGACACCAGTGACAAACATTATATTTTGTCAAGTGTCATCATCAAAATGATCAATAAACATCAAACCTTCCAGCGATAATGGGTCGAAAGCAACTCTAAACAGGTGGGGATTTTAGCCTTGATTTAAAAGAACTCGGTGTTTCAGCTCTGTTCAGTTTTCTGGAAATTTGTTCCAGATTGATGGTGCAACGTTAAAGTTACATATTGGCTATTTAGAAAGATAGCTAATAACTCACCATCTTTTAAGGGTGACTTACAGCTTAGCCAAAGCCAAAACACAATGTCCCAAATTTATCAATGTAGCATTTTAAGGAACTTTGGTTTCGTGTGTTTCGAGTAGATTCTGTGGAGCTTATATCATGTTCTTACAATAATCATAAAAGAATGGAGAAGTTGTGTAACAAAAGTTCATATGTTTGGAGTCAAAACCCTGTATGGTTGCTTAGAGAAATACTAGCCTTGGTTACAGGCTCTATCACCACACCACACATTGCCCTGGCTTTGAGTCTTTGTTTTTTTTCCACATCCACATTGTGCGTTATTTGTGTTTGGGAAAAGATTTTTCGTCATTTAACGCCGCAACTCACCTCCACGCCCAGAAGTTCGAGACGAAGCTGGACAATAAAATATATTATCTCTTCACCGTGTTCTCTTGGCATGAGCAGAACGAGATAGAATTACGACGGAAAAGTTTTCTGTGGCAGAATGAGTCAATATTCCAGTTCTCCGTAAGAAAAACCAGATGAGCTTCAAACAGGCCAAACACGGGAACCAGACCATCAAGGCTGTTATCAACACAGGGCATAAAAGCCAGCTTCTGAGATAAGATAGAGGGATTCATGGGACGGACGGGCGGCTTCGTGTGTAAAAGATACCATTGAGACAGGTGTCCACAATAACATCTTGCGGCTTGCTACAATCTATTCAGCGTCCATTCATATTTTAACAAAATTGCAAAACATCATTAAAAAAGAAACATGCTTGGATGAAGAGCAGGACAAAGCCCAAAAACAGAAGGAACATTTTCAAAACATGTCTTTCTTCGATAATAAACGGCAAGCATCAAATCCCCTACTCCAACATCTCTTTGCCTGGCAATTGAGCCATCTGGCCAGACAGACACTTAAAGATGAAAAAAAGCAAATGAGGTGGAATATCAGTGCTGGCCAACAACTCACAATGTGTTCCTGTGGATTATCTTCGCTGCTGTCGAGTTGTTAGCATGCAACGTCAATCGTGAGAATCAGTCTTCTGTCAGAGGCTTCTTCAGATTCACTGCAAGACTGACTGCTACCAGAGATCCCGTCTGTCCAAATTGACATTTATTTAAACAACAATACTTGGATGATGTGAATTATGACAAGATTTGCTTCACCCTATTCCTTTTTTGGTAAATTGTGGGTTATTTATTGTTATTTCTTTGTTGTTTCTGGTGATGTGAACAATTTACCAAAATAAAATAAATGAATGAATGAATTTGCGTAGAGGATTTATGAATTAAATTATTTTTTTAATCAATAAAAAAAATGAGGAAGAAAGAGGGGAATAAACAAAACAAAAAAAAATCAGGAAGGAATGGAAGAAGGAAGGCACAGAAAAAAAAATAATGAAGAAAGGAGAGAATTGAACAGGGAATACATTTCAGAAAAAGCAAACATTTTCTCTACTCTGCCTTCTTTCCCATACTTTTCCAGACCCCTGAAAGTAGCTAAGCGAAATCCCATACTTTGTCAGTCCGGTATGTGGTATAAAAGAATGAGATTTGAACTTTGAGTGTCTCGGCTTTCCGTATGATTAGATGATGGACATCTTCAGAAATGAGAAAATCCTATTTTTGCATTTTGAAAAAAAAATAAATAAAAATATAGAAAAAATAAAACTTAAAAAAAAGTATTTATTTATTCGGGGGCGCAGGAAAGCTGACTTTACACTGAGGGGGGAATGTTATCAACAGAATAATGTGGACTGATCATTTGTTAATATGGAAGGCGTCCCGTGTATCCATCCCAAACGCCCGCGCGCGCACGCGCACAAACACCATTCCTTCCCTCCACCTCCCCCGGAGGGTTCCCTGGGTGGAAGACATCATCAGGCGCTCCAGGAGGTTGCAGAAGCCGGCCGCGTCATCCCGCGGAATGGGCGGCGCGCGGACGGAGGGTGTTTTCCAGCTTTAAAAGCACCGGAGCCGGCTCCTCTGACAAACGAGCAGCGTCATCCAACTGTGGAGACTTCTCAGAGAACCTCCGCCGCTCAGAAACGATCCAAACATCAAACCAAAACAACTCACCTCAACTCGGTCCGGAAAGCTGCTGCTCTTCCTTCCCCTTTCCGATACGTTTTTTTTATTATTATTATTTTGTTTTGTTTCTCCCCTCGCTCGAGCTCCGAAGAAAAGTTCGCTCGTCTGTCCGAAAGATTCCGAAGCGAGTTATGCCTCTCGGCGCGTGAAGCGAAGCAGTGTCGCCGCTCGTGAACAGTTGCCGTAGGCGAAGACGGTCGGTGCACGCCGAGCGCAGCCGGACGGAAAGTTGCGGCGTCGCTTGTTGAATGCAGGACACCTCCAGCCTGAGCGGCGAAGCCAAGTTCAACTTCGGAGCAGCAGCCGGTCAGGAGCGGGGATTCCAGCGTCTCAAATCTACCGCCGCCGCCGACATGAAGTCTGCAGAGGAAGGTAACATTTACATACGGCTTCATAGCCCCCCTAATGTTTGATTTTAATATGAAATGCACTGATATAGAATACTCTCTTAATGAGGGGGGAAAAAAATGTATGTATATATATATATATTTTACCATTAAATTCTCATTTTGTCAGTTCCACAACACTTTGTTATGGCTGAACTCATCCCAAAAAAATAACACAAACTTATTCAAATGCGTTACATGCACATCATTACCAGCCGTGCTTGCAGGTGCACCTCTTCTTAAGGATGATGGGACGGATTCATAAACCCTGACTGCTGCAAAAGTGTCATGTTAGAGATCTGGGGATGAGGAGGGAACACCCAGAGAGCTTCATCCCAGGAGTCACTGGAGATTCTGGTTCTTTTTAGGCTTCTGTGCAGAAGCTGAGGCAGTGGTTTGCCTTTTTTTTAGGGTTAGGGTATAAAAGTTTGAGAGAGGGAGAGGCGTAGCCGGCCCAAGATATGAGCAAACTAAGCGGCTGCTTTGCATCCCTGCAGTCAGGGTGTGGGGTCAGAAAAAGGTCTAAATCGGGTTATAGTTTCTGGGTGCATGAGTTGTAAAGCGAAACTCCCTAAATGTGAAAAATGTTTGTTATTCACTTTTCTCTCCGTGAAATTTTATATTTTCAGCTTTCTACACTATAGAAACACTTTCAAACTGGCAAAATGAAGACTAAAAAATAGCTTTTCACTAAATGTATTTTTTATTTTATTTTTGTAAAACATTATTTTTGCATTACTTCACATCAGTACACCATTCCCTCCACAGCTGGTAGACAATTTCATCATAAGTTCAGTAATCTTTTTTTTTTCATAAAAATTCACACTAATGCATAAAACAAACAATGTATATATGCCTCATATGTACATTGTCAGTTAGTGTGATATAATTTCCATCTCATGTTACTTTTTAGTTGTGAGCTGTAGTTAAATAAAATGCACCAACATTTGAGCATGGGTGCTATTCTGTGGTGCCCGTTTTCTGCTGGAAGGCGTGCAAATCAGATCCTGTTTCACAGTCAAGGCAGAAAACTTTGATTTCTTTAGTTTTTTTATCTGAAGCTCTTTATGGTCTGTTTAGACTCAATTTTCAGTGCTGATGGTACTGGCTTTTTGTGGATGTTGGGAATTTCATTAAGTCTTTGAGGTTTCGTACAGACGGGTGCAGGCCTATTATTCATTTCAGTCCCTGAGCACTAAGCCTCATAATTGGTAACAGGCATGTGCGTGTGTCTGTGTTTGCAACTAAGACGAAGAGCTGTGATCTGCGCGTTGTGGGATGTCGGGTAGCCGACTTGACAAGGAGCTATGCGTAACCACATGGAGATTCAGCTATGCGCCATGAGCCGCTAAGCTATCACAGATAAACCCAGATGTATACACACACACACACATAGACCCGTCCGATGTTTGGCCAAAGCTCTTTGCCAGCCATGCGCAAACAAAAAGTGGCCCCAAAGTTCTCGGTTTCAGAGGCTGCAGATGACTTCTGTGAGGGAACACGTATCTCTCGTTCCGAGGTCCTGTCGGTCTGAGTGCAGCTTCCACCACAATCCCTGTGGCTAAGCTCCACTGTTCTTTAGTCATACTGGTTTAGTTGTGGTGAGAGAATGTTTTGATCATGATAGTGTAATTGAGAAAAATTGCTGTGCACGGAGAGAACACGCTATAATCTGTGATAGTCAGAGTACTTTGAAATCACGCCGCAAGCAAACATGGAGGCACTGTTTTGTCTTCAAGTGTGGCTTTGAGCGTTCTTATAATCCTCTCCCTGCATCACCCCCCCCCCAAAAAAAAATAAATTCTGAGCTTTTTGAAAGTTTTCTTTTGTCAGCAGCTATGACGCGTGTGAACCCGGAAAACCCGAGTTTCAACATCATGCCGTGTGTAAAAGTGAAAGCCTCAATGTGTTTTGAGTGGGTGTCAGAAGAAGTCAAGTGCGCTTGCAGCGCAGTGCACAGATCAAACACACGTTTAGAGGAGTAGCAGAATGAAAAAACAATCTGCCGCAGCTCAAGCTAAAGTCAGTCAGGCCTGACTCAAGGAGGAGTATCACGACAGGTGGAGCGGGCGGGAGATCATCATCTGTTCAGACCAGAAAAGAGAGAAAAGGGCATCAGAGAGGACTGAGCTGGGTCACACCAGCTTTCATGCTGAAAGAGTGGATGATGACAGAAGCAGAGATGAGTTCGCAGCAAGAAGAGCAAGAGTTTGACTTCAGCTATTTGTTTGAGGACAGTCAAGCTGTCCAGAATGAATCAGAAAGAGGTGCGTAGTGAGAAGCAGTAATGCCTATCCTAATTTATAGCTGTTGGGGGATTGACATTAAATTGTGTGAAAACTTTTGGGTGTACTGTTTCTCAAAGTTTAGGCATTTGATTTTAATGTCCATTGTTTCTATCACTGTTTTATTGGAGTCGCATATTTCTAAAAGCAGGTCCGTGAACTAATTTTAAAACCCCTGGCCACATGTTATGTGGCATGTGACGGCTTTGTCATTTCATGTGATGCACAATGGTGTTGTGGTTGACAAATATAACACAGCACATTAAGGAGAGTGCACTTTAACAGGTTTCAGACTCAGTGATGTTATGTCTCACCACCTTCAGCATCACTAAAGCTGTTGGATACAAAAAAAAAAAACGACGTGTGAGTTTTGACAAAGCGGCCAACCTCGACGGGTGTGTTACCGTGCAGGAACAAACGTTAGGATATAAGTGCTTCCTCTGACTTTGTAGTTGACTTGCACTTGCAATGTTCTCTATGCACAGTACATGCTCGGTTTCGCATGTGCTGTGCATGTACCACTGTGCATCTGTGTGTACAGCGCTACAGCCAACTCTCTTTGACTTAATTACAAGGTTGGAGCGATGTGAGAGTGCTGTCAGCTGTCCACAGGGGAGGGCCTAATTCACTCGGTGAGTGATGCAATCAATCAAACGGAGCATCAATCAGAGCTGCAGGAGGAATTCTTGTAGAGTACATATGACAGCAGGGTGTGCCGAATAGAGCAATGGATGCATTGATCAAACAGAGAAGCTGTGCAAAATGTGACTATGCTTCATGTGCAGTAAAGCTTCTACACATGTTTTCAAAGATATGCCTTGTTGCTCTATCTAAGTTGGGAAATACATAATTGATACACCATCTTGAATTAACGTTTTAAAAGAACATTTTTATTGAATTAGTTGTCAATAATAATTCTGATTTTTGTTTCTCAGATGCATACAACTACACACCAAACGTCAGTCTTCCAATTGGAATGGGCAACCCATGCCTGTCTACGCAGTACCACACCTTGCAGTCCAGTCCTGTCATCCCGGTCTCCTCTTGCCACCAGACTGGCTACAATGTCCAAAATGACAATCATGCCGCGTCAAGTTACTACCTGCCTCAAGCCTTGAGACCCAACGGCGCTCCGGCTCTGGAAAGTCCTCGTATAGAGATCACCGCCTATAGCCAATATCCGGAGGATGAAGTAGAAGCCAGCGGCAGAGAAGATCACATCATCAAACGAGGCGTCAACTCCATTGTCACACTGACACTGCCCAACGTAGATGGGTACCGCGATCCAAGCTGTCTAAGCCCCGCGAGCAGCATATCCTCTCGCAGCTGTAACTCAGAGGCCTCGTCCTACGAATCCGGCTTTTACAACTACGACAATTCCCCGCAGAACTCTCCCTGGCAGTCACCCAGCGTTTCGCCCAGAGGGTCTTCCTCACTTCTGTCTTGTCCACATGCCATTGGTCCCGCAGCCTCTCCTCACCATTCGCCCTCCAACTCCCCTCAAATCGGTGCAATGGCAGAGGAGGGATGGCCAGCGCAGCCACGTGGGTCCCGGCCGAATTCGCCCTCTTGCAGTGGAGTTGGCGTAGGCAACAGCGGTGGCATGGGCAAGAGAAAATACAGTTTCAGCGGCTCCTCTTACCAGCAGACATCGCTCTCACCCAATCAATCACCAACCCCTTCTTCACATGGTTCCCCAAGGGTCAGCGTCACAGACGAGAACTGGCTTACCAACACCAACCAGTACACCAACCTTGCCATTGTAGCAGCTATTAATGCTCTCACCACAGATGGAATGGCTGACATGGGGGAAGGAATTCCAATCAAGACACGGAAGACCATGCTGGACCTCTCACCATCCATGAGTCTGAAGGTGGAACCCGGTGGTGAGGACCTGGGTCCAGAAGGGGAGCTTCGACATGAGGAGTACCCTTCCCGCCTTAGCCTCAAGAAGGAGAATTACTGTGGAGGGTTTCTGGATGTACCCCAGCATCCATACTCCTGGTCTAAACCCAAGCCTTACCTCAGGTAAGCCACTCCTGCTATTGCGTGTTGAGGTTTCACAAATCTGTTAATATTTTTTGTACCTGCCCAGTCGTGTGTTGGACCATGGGTTGGCTCGGTCTTCTGCTTACTTTTATTTAACGAGAGCTTTGAAGAAGATGTAACAAAATGGCATGAATTTGTTCGGATTAGGAGTGTAACAAGATCTACTAGGACAAGATCTCATGGCATTAAAATACTGTAACATTTCTTGTCAAAGAAATGTTACATTATGTCATTATGTGACTGTTGTCACAGTCACATAATGACAGTATCCAGGGCTTATAAATGATCAGTTATAAATTATCAATGTAAGCCCTGGATTTGTTTGAATGTTTTATTTGTGCTTAAGAATTTTGGTTTTAAGTAAAAAAGAAAGTTTTTTCAGGTTGATCAGGTCTCATTCTCCCTATCGTAAATGCCAACTACAATCTCTGATATCACTTTGGAAATTTGTTGCTCCCTCTTAGTCCACGCAATATTTATTGCATTATTTGTAGTCCCACACAGACTAGAACTTCATCTACACACCACCCCACAGCTCACGGTGGAAGCATCTCTTTGTAAAGTTTGTCACAGGCAGCTGGGTTCCACCAGGGAGTTACATTTGCAAAGGTTACCGTAAAACAAATAATATATGACAGACATTAAGCTGTATCCTCCTTTCTAAATAAAGTGGCACCAGTGGAAAACTTATATTAATCATCCAAATACAACTTTCCCCAAAACTGTCGTTAGAAGCGGAGACACACACACTTCTATTACCTTAAACGGGCCTCTGATCTTTACCTTTGAGCCTTTAGCTCACTGTTTTACTGAGTGCACAATCCATCACCTCAATCTGACTCATGTATTGTCTTTTTGCATCTATATTGAGTTTTGCTTATTTTCCTGAGAGGACAAGATTGTTTCACTTTTTAATCTTCAAAGGCCGTATCAAAAGGCAAAGAATCAAAGATACACGCTCCTCACTTCCAAACAAGCTCCCTTTGAAGATCAGAGCTATTTCATAAATCATATTTCGCACAGAGGAGTTGCTCAGCTTGTGTATGCAGCTGTTGCTATAACAACTCATACACAAATATGATGTGTGGACACACGTTCAAACAAACACGCAAGGTGAGCCCCCCCGCCGCCCCACTTGGTGGCATGTCTTTCCAAGCCAATAGCACACTTTCCTGTCGGAAATCAAGTGTTTGATTAAGATAGTGAGGAACAGGAAGTAACGGTGACAGGCTCGATTGAAGGGGAAGCAGTCTGGGAGTTAATCAGCTGGCTCGCTGCACTGGCCTGTCGCGCCATTCGACCATCTTTTCTCCCCCGCAGCTAACGTGATGTCATGCACCGTCTGGGCAGATAAAGCCTTGTGGGGGGAAATCAGTTTGTTTTGGGTCAACAAACAGCCCGCAAGTTCCACAGAGATGCCAGAGATTGGTTTCAGTCGAACCGCCCCTCGGGTCAAGGGTTTGAGGGTTTGCGTTCAGCAGGCATCCGGCCGGCCGAGAAATATTGTCTTGCACATGTTTGTTTTGGTTTAGATATCGCTGCGTCGTTCACATGGGAATCTCTGACTCTCTGTCTGGAGAACAATGACGTTGAGGGATGCCAGCCGCAGCTCGGAGAAAGAGATATCATGGCAAGACGGGCCGTGCGTCTTGAACCGCTCACTTCAGAACCGACGGGGCTTGTGTCGTCAAATCTCAGTGTTATCCAGTCCTGCGACAAAGCAGCTCAAACCCCGGTCTGTACCAGGTTTTGTTTGCGTGCCTCAGAAATGTCTTTCATCCCGCTGTCACTTTCTTAACTCGTCGCGGCTGTTTCCACCTGTCATGCCATAATGTAAAACACACAGCTCTCAAACTGGGCCACATTTGCTTTTCATTTGCTTTTGTACATAAAAGACACAACTAATTATTAACCTGGCCTTGAGAATTATGCATGTCAGTGTAATAGTGCTGTTGGTTAGATTTAGGACCATGATGAAATGGAGGAAGATCAAGCCAGTTGGATTACTCCAAAGTGGCCCAATTTGTGGCTAATTTAAAGCAAGCTTGGAATTATTAGATCCAGATTTTTCTGACATGGAGAGAACAGTGGAGCGCCTAGAAGCTCATGTCTGCAAATTCAATTAAATAAAAGCAGTGATTTTAATCTTATGTTACTTTCAGCTAAGAGCAATCAACTTGTCCTGTCCTTTGCAGCCCCTCACTGCCGGCTCTTGACTGGCAGCTGCCGTCCTGCTCCGGCCCGTACAACCTGCAGATCGAGGTGCAGCCAAAGTCCCACCACAGGGCCCATTATGAGACGGAGGGAAGCCGGGGAGCCGTGAAAGCGCTGTCTGGGGGACACCCTGTGGTTCAGGTACTTCTAACTGAAGTGCGGTGAAGATGCGAGTGTGTTAGAAATGTTACCATTGTGTTATTCATTATCGATAAAGGTTAGTTTGTAAGGGAATTTGTGTCAAAGTTCTGCAAGCAAAGTCTTTTTTGTTGTCTTGATTTATTATAAAGCCAAGGTTGAGTTCTTTCTTGGAAGCTACCATCCTGTAACTTTTAGATTGATCCCATCTTCAATACACATAAATGGCTCATTACTAGACTTCTGCAGAGCTGAATGATTACTGCTGATTATCTTGACACTGTGCCACTCCTAAGGGGTGCGCCCCAGACTTTAAGAATAATTGGCCCCGACTAAATTGGACTTTTACTGTGTGAAGACAATGACATTCTTAAATATGTTCTATTACTTTATGAGGCTTTAAACCATTTTCACAGTCACATTGGGTAGTTATTTCTAAACAATGGTCATTTAAACAACTGTTGTCTACTTGTAGAAAATGAAGCGTAATTTCATTTTCAGTGAAAATGAAAAGGCAGTGTAAAAATCAATATCAATTCCATAAACCACAATGTTTTTGCTTTTTAAATAACTTCTGTGCAGCTGTACAGGTCTTGTTTTATGCATGCTTGTGATATGACCTGTTGTCAGTGTGTTCACAAAAATCTGGGGGAACATGGATGTCTGTGGAAAATCCCAGATATCCAATGGTGTCTTGTACAATTCAGCAAGTACAAATTTATGAATTTATATACTGACAGATCCACCTGTCAGTTCACATCTGCACATTCACAGTAGTCACCCCAATGTTACCAACTTGATAAATATAGCAACGATACAGCACCAGTGAACATTGTTGCTATATTTAGCAACATACCAGACAAAAAATTGGTATGGGCCAAAGTCCAATTTGGCACGCCAAGGATTGGTATCGGACAGAAAACTAAACATTACTTAAAAGAAACATACAAATTCTGAACTATAGAATATTTATTCTATTCTATTCTAGCGTGACGTGTACCATCCATTTCCCATTTATCACAGCTTATCCAACAGAGGCCTTTCTAGTAACTTAACACAATGTGTACACACTGTAGGCTTTACATTTTTCTACATTTCTGCTTGCTGTGTTATTAATGCTCCCTGAAGCGCAGAGTCAATGCACTGTAATCCAGTAAAAGGTCACTTTGACCAGTTGCAGTGCATGCTGACTCAATTAGTATAGAGGAGAACCATCGCCTCTTACTATTGTACTTGGCAAACTCTTAAAGAGCACACGTCAGTCTCGCCAACAGCGCAGCACAGAACTCCTTTCTATGTTGCGCTGTCATCATGCTGGGCTCGCATCTCAGTTTACACAAGGTGGGAATTTAGTGCTGCGTGCACGTCCCAAAAGCCGACGGTAAATTTGACATTCAAGCCATTAATTAAAAGGAGAAAAAAAAAGACTAATTGTATTATTTGCAAAACGTAGCTTGATGCACGCTCTATTTCTTGAACATAAAACTCTGAAAAAACATGTATTTAGTCCAGTCCGTTGGTGTTAAACACTTAGCACTGTCCTGGAGCTGTTTTGTAAACAGATGTTGTCAGCACATCCTGGTCTACACGGTGTCAAATGCACTTGACAGCTGTTGGCCAGTGCGGCGTTATAAACAGGCCTGTCAACCCGCAGGTTTTCTCTGTAAATACAGGTCATTATTCCCCTTCATTAAAAACCTTTGTACATCAACATGCATAAATCAACATTTTAGCCCAGCGCCCTCCCTATGCCACAGAGAGAGGCGGAGGAGCACAGTAGGCTTGCTATGCACAGCTGCAGCAGGTGTGACCAACTTTGATTTAACTTACTCTGTTGTCTGGCTCACTCTTCACCAACCCAAGTGGGGGTAAAAAAAAACGCCATAAGTTAACCGTAAGAATTGCATACAAACTGCAAATTCACATCTCACAAACTTTGAATTATTTTATTGGGACTTCATGTGACAAACCATCAGAAGGTTAGGCGATTTGTCTAAATCTGAAAAGTGGTTTTATATTCGGATTCAGTCTCCCTGAGTCAACTCTAGGTCTTTTACCATAATTATTTTTCTGAGTGATAAATTGTCCCAGAAGTTGTCAAGATAAATAATAATGTTGTTTAGAGACAATTTTTAAGTAGAGGTAATGGCATAATCTGCAAAGATCAATTAATTTTCAATTCTAATGAACATTTAACAGTGGTACTGGAAGACATTTTAAATATCCAAAATAAACAAAACAACAGATGAAATACATTATAAAGTCTACAAACAAAATGGTCCTTCAAAAACAGGGGGGGAGGCTGGTTGAGACCAAAACACCAAACTGAAAACTTTCATCAGCCAGTTTTTGGTAGGAAGAGAAAAACGATAAGTCAGGCAAATTGAAATTATTGAGCTTGTTTTAACTTACTTGGATCATGCGATTAATTGATTTATTGATTATTGTGACAGGCCTAGTCAATGCTTTGTAAAAAATATTTGGCTGTGATTGCAGCAGCAGCTCGTTTAGCCGGCATATTCTGATTTTCGGTACGGACTTTAAGTCTACCATTAACACACATGGGTATGCCTTGACCTAAGCCATTCCATTATGTACCCAACTGTGTTTAGGGTGAAACTCAACCTCAGTTTCTAATGGGGTATGAGATCCTTCCTTGTCTGTGTGTAGCTCCATTCATCTTCCCATTAACTAAATATGTTATGTTCAAGATGATGTGCAATGTTAGATTTTGACCAACAGAATTTGATGTGTCATTGAAAACCCTTCATTGGTTTTCAAACCTTAGATGAAACTTCCTATAGCTGCCACAGTGATTTTCTTTTAGGCAATATCTGCCACAAATGCTAAATTTGAGGAGCGTACAACTGAAATTTGCCCTGTGAACAGATTTTGCCACCTGAGCAGTGAATCTCTAGCTCCTCCAGAAGGGTGTATTCAAAATAAACTCCAGCTTGTGGTTATAAAAAGACAAGATGCAAAAAAACCCAATTTAAAACGGCTGTAAAAAAAGAAAAAGGATATGTTGCCCTATTAAAATTCATCAATTCAATCTATGTTTTAAAAGGCTCAAATTTCAAAGGTGAATTTGGGATGACTCCAGGTAAAAGCTGTAATACAAACATCACAACGCCTCTTCACTCTTGCACCTTTTCACATATATTTCAGACTTCTTGGAAAGTGGGGATTTATTATGCCTGTGATTTATGTCTTGTGCAGTCAGCTGGGGTATCTTGAGGGTTTTGTAACTTTGGAAACCACTCCAAGCAAGGCAGTGAGCAGAAAGATATATCTATAAAGATGAGCCAATCATGTGTTCGTGCTAAATTTATGATATCTCGAAGAACATTTTTTGGTGCCTTCAGGGTTTTTTTTTTCTTTTTGCACAGTTCAAGATACAAAATCTCTCTTAAATCTAACTTCAATAGTTTATTTTAACCCTTTCTTTGTCCATGTTGAGGTGTCGAGAGGAACTATGGTCTTAACATTGAAGGAAGGGCATCCAGCGGTCCCAAATGCCCCGTGGTAATGAGTGGATGGGTGAGGCGCAGTCAAGGAGAATGAGTCAATAATGACACAGGGGCATGGGTGTAGGAGGCAGATCAAGGAAGTGTATGTGTATGCGTGTGTGTTTTTGCTGCTTAAGGCTGGAAGATGTAGGGAGAGAAAGAGAGAGACAAGGGGCAGAGGGAGTCACAAGGCAGCTGGAACTTGCCTTGGCTGCCCCCTAGAGATGTTCTGTATCCTGCTGATTAGGACCCAAGTAGCCCTGAGGTTGCCTGAGCACGGGAGGTGGGGATGTGCAGGAGTCAGGCTCCCAAGGCCCTTCAGATGCCACCTCTCCCCTCCACACACCCGTGCCTCTTTCCCTTCCTCCCAACTCCCTCCCTCCTGAGGACCAGGGGATGTCGCTCCCAGTGAACTTCTCATCCTTCAGTGATTTCCCAAACCCACAGCAGCAGGCCTCCCTCATGTTGGGTCCCAGTCAAGCAGAGCTCTATTGTTTTCTTAGCTCATGCATGATCAGACACATGTGCTATGAATGATGGTGACACGTGTGTTGGAAAGCAACACCAGGTGAAAAAACATGTAGCCATAGCAGACTGAAAGGATACACTGTTTCTACAGCGGCCTGCACGCTGCTGCCGTTGCCAGGCAGGAAGAAGATCCTGCGATTGAAATCCAACTTGGACTCTTCTGTGTGGAGTTGGCATTTTCTTTTTGTTAAAGCAAGTGATGTCTCTGGGGACTACAGGGTCTCTCACCTCACCAGTTCAGTGGCTGATCATTTACCTTAGACTTAAACTACGTCGTCCATCTGTCTGTACTTTCTGCAGGTTGTTAACTATGTCTCTCACTGTTGGGTGGACATTTTGGCCCTCACAACTCTAGCTCTGTACTTTGCTCAATGGCAGCACACCACAGCCCCATAAGGAAACCTTAGATATTCCTTTGGCTCCTCTCAGAATGTTCCAGATGCTGTTCTTTTTCACTTCAGCCATGCTAGAGGCATTTTCGAAGCCGTACCAAAGTAAAACCGTAGTTTGTCGCCCATATAATTTCTTTTTTCTACTTAATTCTTGCAGTTTTGCTCGCTGGTGTCTATCACCAGCAGTCAGTGAGTGAGAATTAGGGTGCACACTGGACAGCCAGAGGACAAACAACCCCCTTGCACAGGAGTACAACTCTAGAGTGAGCAATCAACCTAACTATGTCTCCAGAATATGACATGGAGATATGGAGAGGAAGAACTTGCAAACTCTACACAAGAAAGCCAAGAAGTATTTGAACCGAAGTCAATCTTGCTGCAAGGTAACAGTGCTAATAACTGTTCTAGCCTATGTCCTGGTCTGCCGTCCCCCCCAGATCAAAACCACATGTGAATTGAAAAATATTTCAGTCAAAAACAGTTCCATAAAGAAGTTATTCCGTTACATTATTTTGAAAACAAGAGAACGAATTCTCAGTAAATCTGCTGAAAATTTGATCTTGTTGATATGGCT